ATATGCTGACTCTGTAAACCGCTTAGAGAGGGCTGAAAGCCCTATGAAGCGGTATATAAGTCTACTGCTATTGCTATATCTATGTAATCATCCATCCATCCTTTCTCTATCTCTTATCTCCATAGCTATCTGTCTGTCCATTCCCTTTGCCTATCTCCCTCTCCTCTCTCTCTCCATCTCTCTACTTCGCTCCATCCATCCAAATCTATCAATCTATCTCAACGCAGAGCTACATATATTCTCCTTTACTGATAACTGAACTTTTTTTTTCAGTATTGTAAGCCGCCTACGATTGTCAGCAATGTGTTGAGTTATATAAAATCGCTTAATAAATAAACGATAAAGAACAGGTTCAGCTACAAGAGGGATCATATTTGTGGTGTGTGTGTATGACAGAGAAAGAAAGAGCGTGAGAGAGAAAGACAGAGAGTGAGAAAGAGACAGAGAATGAGAAACAGAGAAAGAGCGTGAGAGAGAAAGACAGAGAGTGAGAAAGAGAAAGAAAGAGAGAGAATGAGAAAGAGAACGAGAGAGAGAGAGAGAGGGAGAGGCAGAGCCTGGGCTGTCCGTCAGCCCTCAGATAGAGAGTCAACAGCTCCCAGATCTGGAGGTGGTGGATGAGGAAGAGGAGGAATTTGCCAGATTTGCAGAAGGGAGAGGAGAGCAGTGGAAATCTATGGGCCGGTCCTCGGGACGGAAGAGCCATTGCTGCTATGGAAGCCCCTCTCTAGCTCTGGGGATAAAAGGCAGCGGGCGGAGACGAATAGCTCTGGCAGACAACCATTCATCTCCTGGCCAGCCAGACCTGTGAGCTCGTGGGAGAAACTTTTTGCCGGGACTGCTGGCGCTCGAATAAAGGAACCCCCCCAGGGGGTCTTTACCCATGTTCAAGGTGACGGTGATGATGTTGAGCGACATGGTGGAGTCGGTGACGCTGCTGAAGGACGACGTCTGGAAGACAGGGGAAACGGTGCGGTCGGTGCGGGAACGAGTCCCCCTGAGTCGTGCCTCCTCCCCCCCCCAACTACAACCGTCCTCCTTTGGCTGAGACCCTCTGGGCCCCGGAGGCTGAGGCACACACACCCACCCCCCTCCCGGCCTGGGACCTACCCGTTCGAGACGCGGCGGGCGTTGCTTCCTCCTCCGACGGTGGCGCTTGAGAAGCCGCGAGGCGCTGCTCTGCTCCGTGGAGCTGCTAAACCTGCCGAGGGAACGGGCGAGGGGCTAACAGGAGGGAAAGGGCACCACCCAGCGATGCTTTCCGCAACCCACGACCGGAAGGGAGCCCCAGATTTCTGCTGCTGAACGAGCTTTGGTTCCGCTGGGTTTTGCTGGGTTTTTAACGGCCTTTTCTTGCCCACGGGGTTAAAAGTGAATCACTGCAGTTATAACACGGTTGTTGAGTGAATCCGGCTTCCCAGAGGGACACAACAGGGGGATGCCGTGACCCCGGGGCCTTGCGACCGTCATAAATACGAGTCGGTTGCGAAAGGTCCGGATTTTAATCACGGGATACTGTGACATTTCTAAGTCCTAAGATCCTTTGTTCAAACTGTCGTTCAATGAATGGTTTTAAAGGAAGGGCTACTTGTTAAAAAGCTGTAAGTAAAATACTATAAAGATCCAAATAGCCCTAACTGAAAGGAAGAAAGAAAGAATGAAGCATAGGAAGGAAGGAAGAAAGGAAGGAAGGAAAGAGCGGGAGGGAGGAAGAAGGAAAGAAAGAAAGAAAGAAAGAGAAAGAAGAGGAAGGAAGGAAGAGAATGGAAAGATAGGAAGAAAGGAAGGAAAGAAAGAAAGAAAGAAGAGGCAGGAAGGAAGAGAATGGAAAGAAAGAAAGAAAGAAAGAAAGAAAGGAAAAAAGAAAGAATGGAATCAGGAAGGAAGGAAGGAAAGAGGAGGGAGGGAGGAAGAAAAAAAGAGGCAGGAAGGAAGAGAATGGAAAGAAAGAAAGAAAGAAAAGAAAGAAAGAAAGAAAGAAAGAAAGAAAGAAGAGGCAGGAAGGAAGAGAATGGAAAGAAAGAAAGAAAGAAAGAAAGGAAAAAAGAAAGAATGGAATCAGGAAGGAAGGAAGGAAAGAGGAGGGAGGGAGGAAGAAAAAAAGAGGCTGGAAGGAAGAGAATGGAAAGGCAGGAAGAAAGGAAAGAAAGAAAGAAAGAAAGAAAGAAAGAAAGAAAGAAAGAAGAGGCAGGAAGGAAGAGAATGGAAAGAAAGAAAGAAAGAAAGAAAGAAAGGAAAAAAGAAAGAATGGAATCAGGAAGGAAGGAAGGAAAGAGGAGGGAGGGAGGAAGAAAAAAAGAGGCTGGAAGGAAGAGAATGGAAAGACAGGAAGGAAGAAAGAAAGAATGAAAGAAAGAAAGAAAGAGGGAGGGAAAGTAAGTCCTGGCAAACTCTTGCTGGCTGGGGGATTCTGGGAGTTGAAGTCCCCAAGTCTTAACACTTGCAAGGCCGAAGACCCCTGCAACAGAGCACGGGCTGAAGAGGGGCTGCCGAAAAGAGGAGGGGCTCCACCTACCCTCCAAAGCCCCCCAGAGGCAGGACAAGAAGCAACGGATGGAAACTAATATAGGAGAGAA